TATGTCGTGCAGTGTACTCGGCCAGATGTATCGTTAGCATCGAGTCTAACTAGTAGATACCAGTCTGATCCAGGTGAGCCACACTGGATAGCCGTAAAGAACATCCTGAAATACCTGAGAAGGACTAAGGATGCGTTATTGGTTTACGGTGGACGTGAAAATGAACTCGTTGTAAATGGTTACACCGATGCTAGTTTTCAGTCCGACGTGGATGATTTTCGATTGCAATCAGGTTTTGTGTTCCTTCTGAATGGAGGTGTTGTTCGTTGGAAGAGTTCCAAACAGGCCACCATTGCAGATTCCACTACAGAGGCTGAGTATATTGCTGCGTCGGATGCGACAAAGGAGGTTGTTTGGATCAAGAAATTCGTTGGAGACCTTGACGTTGTTCCTACCATTGCGAACCCCATTACGTTGTACTGTGACAACAATGGTGCGATTGGGCAAGCCAAGGAACCAAGGTCACACCAGAGATCCAAACACATACTCGGGCGATTTTATCTTATCAGAGAAATTGTAGACAGAGGAGATGTGTTTATATGCAGAGTATCGATAGATGACATATCGAAGCCTCTCCCTTCGTCGAAACATGAGTGTCATGTTAGGTCGATGGAAATTAGATATTTAGTTAATTATGATTAAAGCATTTGGAGATTGTGATGTTTTATGCTCTAGACATGATTATTCGCACAAACACTTTATTTATTATACTTGGATTCATTGTGATGAATGAAAATATGTTTTTCTTTTGATTATTATTCAAATTGCATGTTATTGTTTAATAATACTATCCACGTATTATTATTATTATAATAATACTAAATCCCCTAGTCGATCGTTAATGTGGGAATATTAACGAACAAAGACTAGCATCATAGCGTATTGGATACGGATCATGATCATGGGTATTCATTTGTGAATGAATACTGGATGACCACATGAGATTGTCACATGGACCTGATGTCATGACTTGAATCTCATGTAATAATCCGCTTTGAGTCCTAACACCTGAGGTCTATATATTTATCCGTCATGAGGAGTGATATTCTTTGACACAGTCAAACGTCGGAACTGTAAAAGGACGACTATAACGATTGTAGTTGGGAATGTCATGAATCATGTGGAGGTAGTAGAGAGCCGAGATGAGATTTTGTTCCTCTCTTATGTGAAGAGAGAGCTATCGCTGGGCCCCTCGAGTGAGTTGAGCTGAAACGCACACAAACAGATGAAGAGTCATTTGTAGGTTCAGTTAACTCAACGAACGAGAAAGCAGACAAAATGTGACGAGATGACTTGTTCCATGTCTTTGTTTTGACTTATGATATCATGTGACAAAAAGGACACAAGTGTTGAATGTTACTTGGCTCGTTAGATCACACTAACCTAGTTTGACAAGGGAGTCATAGTGTCTTGCTAGAGACAACCTATGATTATTAGTCCGAAATAGTTTCGGAACTATGTCTGCGTTGGACGGGCCTACAGGGTCACACACGTATGGTTGTTACTATTTTCTGGAGCGTGCTTGGGATGGTCTATTGTGATAGACCGAACCTCGATCATGAGTAGAGCAAGTGGAAGATTGATGGATATGGTGCTCTGGCCACGATCGGTTTGCGAAACTGATTAGAAATCCATTGGATGGGTTTAGGTGGCCCATGGGCCCATATGTTTATTAACGAGATTAATGGACTTGTTTTCTCTTATTAATTAAGTGAAGGCCCATTAGGCCTATTTGGTTTAATGAAACCCTAATTCTTTTATAATTATGTTTAGGAAACATAATTTAAGGTTAAGAAACAAAAGGAGATTTTCGAACTCTCTCTCTCTCTTGGCCAAAATTTCTCTCTCCCGGGATTGTCTCGTTTTTTCGTGTCCGACCTCTAGATCGTGTCCTAGCATACGCAAGCCGGTGAGTGTGGACTAACTGTAGAGAACGCTTGATTTCAGCGTTTGTGACAGGTCCTTGGATCGAAACAGGTTGGCATATCGATACCTTTATCATTATATGCAAGATATGTTGATTGAGTTTCGTTTTATATATTCCGCTGCGTGAAACCCAAAGTTGGAACCCTAGAAACCGTTGTGAACGCACGTTTAGGGATCTCCAAAAACCCTAACAGTGATGTCTCCACATTTAGGTGGAGCTTCCTCGGGTAGGATGATCAGGAGATAGTGTGAGCTGGGAGGTGTCGGGTTTCACCAGGTAGAGTCGGTGTTGGTTGGAGCGGTGGGACACTCCCTCTCGGGGTGGAGCACGTGCACTCATGTGTTCTTCATTCTCGGTGGAGCATTGTAGATGACTAGGAGTGTTTTCACAGGATAAAACCGTGAGACAATCTTAGTTGGTAGGTTAGTATCCGTGGATAGAAGTCACTAACTCATAGGTTGTGTAGACTCTATGTGGATCCAGAGTTAGGTTACTAGCAAGTTCGATAGTATGACTCAGGTCAGTATCGGGAAAGTCGGGTTAGACTCAGGAGACGGGTAGATGTCGGGGTTAATCCTCGAGGGTGCACATGTGAAGTCTTAGACTTCATCGGAGAGGGTTATGTAGACAGTCTAGAGAGTCATAACTATTCGAGGTCGTTAGCTAGTCTTCCGAAAACAGAAGGTGTCAAGGACACTCGTTTTGGGTAGATTAGGTTGTGTGTTTATTTTTTTTATCACGCTGAGACGTACTTTTGGTACGTTCGGTAAGAACTCTATTAGAGCAGCACGTTTGATACGCCTAGAATGTGTCGGGAGGTAGAGTTTACATATTGAAGTAAACAGGAAGCAACAACGTGCTAGGGTTCATGTTTTGCATGTTATGTTGTGTTTGCTTTGCTTCGTGTTTTCTTTTGCAGGTTTTGTTGAAGAAGGTGGAGATTTGTGGAGTCTTCAGCTAATCCTCTAGCTCAAGCGGAGGGTCTCGAAGCCTCGGTTCGAGACAGAGGATCTTCAAGGGACGGAGGAACATTTCCGTTATTCGCTTGTTTACTGAAACCCCATTAGGGTTTCCTTCCTTTTTTCTGTGGTGTGGAGTCTGTAACCTTAGGTTGTGGTTCTCTCACGCACGACGGAGAGGTTTCGTCTCTCTGTCGAACGGAACTGCCGTTCGGCGGTCTCCAACGGTATTTCCGGTTGTAAACTCTAGCAAAAATACGCGGCTTCCTCTTTCCGAGACGTAGGCCCGAGCTTTATGCTCGATGACCGAACTCGTAAACTCTGTGTGATCTCTTTCCTTTTCGTTATGAGTTCACACGAGAGATTCAGAGTAGAATCTGTGAGGAACCGATCGGCCTGAACCACTACACTACATTTTCCAGAAAACTAGTGAAATCCGGATGAATGTTCTTTTCCAATTGAAAACTCGAACTTGGGTTGGAAAGGAGATTTGCTTTACCCCTTACCAGTTGAGCCACCAGATCTCTCTCCTTACTACATTTTGTACATGTGAATACATGGCCTGAATTCTCTGTATTGTACAGTTTTTATTTCTAATGCATATACTTTTACAAAAAAAAAATATTTATATCATGAATTGAGTTCCGATCAAGCAATGCCAATTGAATCGAACACACAAGGTCCGAACCGAAGCAAGAGAGTACGCAGAGATTTACGAGTTCCCGACTTAGTGTAAGTTCGGTGCGTCTCGGTCGGATCTTTGATCCGAGGAATTCACTATTTTGAGTATTGTTACAGAGAGAATCAAGCTCAATATACAGAGCATCGATGCTAAAAATAAACTCTGGTTTTAGCCCGGATATCGATTCCATTTTTATTTCTTCAACTGGTTATGCTGCAACTACATTACCACACTCCGACCCTGCACTGTTTTAACCGTTTTAAAAACCCTGCAAGGCTTTAGGCTGCCACACGTCGTCGTTTTGATGCGAGTCGGAGACACTTTCTGACTCAGTTGACACCCTCTTTCTGACCAAGAGTCTTTCCAACAAAAGTCCTCGACAACCTACGGACGAACCCGCGAATCTCTCTGTTGGCTGTTTTTCTTGATTTCAACTTACCCCATCGGACGGGTTTGGGCCGATTTAGTGCTTATGGGCCGATATTATTGGACATTTTCATTATGGGCTTATAGCCATCCGACTTAAAAATTGCAAAGGGAATGCAAGACAAACAGAAAATGATATTAAAAAGGAAAAATTCTGTAAGGATAAGCGAATTTTTGTAATAACCACAGAAAAATTGAGGCGAGAGTCAAAACCCATTACGTAATATATGAGTACAGAGCTTATTGAACTTCCTTAAATTCACGTATTTCTTCTTACCGATTTTTTAAAAGAATGACTACAACATGCAATACGTGAATTTACATGGGGATGTTAAGATATTGAACCTCCTTAAATTCTAGGCATCGGATATTCAAACCCTAAAGGAGTTTTCGCTATTATTTCTTGTTTAAGATATCAATAACGTGTTTTTATTATGAAATGGGATTGGGTGTGATGTATGATTTTAGCATCAGTCGAAATATATAACAGAGAGGTTTTAATCAAGAGGCTGACGTCCGATTACAAAATATTGAAAATGCAAAAACTCCTTTTCCTTCTTTTTTGGGAATGTAAAGCGTTTAAAAAAACACAGAACACTAACAGTCTTGTCAAGACACTACTAACTTTCGTCAAACTCCTCGGATTTCGATTCGTTTACCAAAATTAAAACTAATATTCATATTTTAATTATCATTATTCAAATTAAATAATTATATTAAGTATGATACGTAGCAAATTACAATATTTAAAAATATAAAATACAATCTTCCCGCATTTTTTCTCCACATCTCTTTCTATATATTGTATAGCAAACCTCTTTATAACGCTATGCCTTTTTCCCCTTCGAGTTTCATTCACATCTTAACATTGGAAGCCTGTACAGTTGAAATGGCGACTCAAGCGGAAAAGGAGGATTTCTTCGGGTGTTTCTTCAAGGCCTTCAAAGAGCAACGGTGTGTCGATGTCAAAGTCATGGCCGAATACGGCAAAGAGGCTATCCCTGCCCACAAATTCGTCTTGGTATGGTATCTCAATTTTAATTTTCTAATTAAAAGTACTATGATGAGTGGCCCAATTGAATTGCCAAGTTTCCTTAAATTATGTTTTATAGGCGGCGGGGTCAGAGGTGTTTAGGGGAATGTTCGAGAAAGATGAGTTCAAGAGGTCGGTCGATTCCGTGATCACCATCGATCTGCTGGATCAAGAAGGGTTGGAGGCTTTTCTTGAGTTCATGTACAGAGGCACTTTGCCTCACGAGAAACTCAGGACGCACATTCGAAAACTTTACGGTGTAGCGATTGCATACGAATTTCCACATCTGCACGATTTTTGCGGAAACTTCCTGACATCATCCCTCGCATCGTATAATGCCCTCGCCATTGCTGAGTTAGCTAGCATCTGCAAAGACAAAGTTCTCAAGGATGCTGCGTTCCGGTTTGTCATCGAGAATGCAGATGTGATCCCGTCTCATTTGTTCAAGGAATTCTTCGAGAGAAACTCGGGCCTTGCCGTGGATTTGATTAAGGAGTTTCGTGAAGAAATTAAAGTGTTTAGCTTTTGCAATTCAATGTTTGAGAAGTTCTTTAATAGTTTTAAGTGACTAGGTTTGGTTTGGTTTGTGTTTTTTGTTATTTTTGTTTTTGTAGGGTTTGTTGCGGTGTCGACGTGTTTGGTCTCTGATTCTGTTTATTGATGCTTATGGATAGTATAAGTGTTTTTTTGTGGGGCAATGTTATTTATTGGTCAAAAATTCCAGAAATTCTTTTTCTAATTTCCATTAAAAGACCGGGCGTTGCTTCTGAACTCTTTGGAATTCGATTTGTAATTAGAATTTTCAAAGTAGTCTTTCACATAAAAGGTTTTTTTTTTATTTCTTATGGGATCTACGTTCTTTTTATCCAACCAGTTTGGTTTACAATAGTTTAGGTTTCCGGTCCGGTTTTAATTATATATAAAAATTGTATGACTCATTAATCTATATATTTTGATTCCTATTTGCGCACTTGTACTCTCGTGCTATAAATGTGCACGAACAATAAATCCGCTACAAAGCCCATGAAAGTTCCCTGTAATTCTTTGCAATTTAATTTAATGGCAACGCCCTAAAGTTTATATAAAAACACGAGTTCGTTTTGTGTGTGTGGAAAGTAAAACTCTTTAACCGCAATAGAAAAACCAAACGTTTCTAGATCAAAGAGTGCATCACCTCTGCCTCCTACTCACTATCTTTTTTTTTTTGATAAATAATATCTCCTACTCCTACGTATATATTAATGATGTCCCAAAAAAGGGTAAAGTTACCTAATACAACAGAACACGTCAAAGCATCAGAGCATGAATATCACAAGGGGTCAAAATGTCTAAACCAGAATTCAAGAATCGAACTTCCATCCGACAAAATCGGACAAGAAGTAGATGATCTCAGCGCCGAGAGCTTCCTCTTGGTGTGCAGAAGAACAGTCTTGTAGACCAGCTCCAGAGGTGAGCTAGTCGAGTTGAGAGAAGGTTGTTCGGACCCAAGCAACCCATAATGGGCCTCCTTTCGTAAACAATAGCCACAATAGTTTCAGGCATAGAATTTTATTCCATTCTCCAACTCGTCGAAGTCCCAGACCGCCACATGCCTTAGGAGTACAAATAGAATCCCAAGAGACCTTGGCCCCCTTAGCAGATGAAGGTGCCCCATTCCATAGAAATGCCGCACCATCCGCTCTATGGTCTTGACACAAGCCTTCGGTATTATAAAAGCCGCTGCCCAGAAGTTTATGAGACTATAAATGATAGATTTTATAAGCTGTAACCGTCCAGCAAAGGATAGATGTTTTACTGTCCAAGAGCTGAATTTTCATCTTGTTAAAGCAAGGAAATAACATATTCAGCATCTAGAAGCTTTAAACCAACAAATGGAAGTATGTAGCTGAATCTGGAAAGCACAAAAGGAAAGAAGCAACAAAAGGAAAGAAGACACATGCATCAATGAAGAAAAAGGAAAAATGCATATTATGAAGATATTGAGAGAATCACTTGGAGAGGTCTATATATACTGAAGACCCCATTACAGAAGGGCTGTCGAGATGATTGCTACTGAAAAGCAGAGTCTGTGACCTTGGTGAGAGTCATATGTACGGGAAACACTGGTGAGAGATATATGAGAGAACGTGAGGTAGATCTGAGGGGGAGCCTTAAGTAACAGGTGAACTGCTCACTGGCCTAGACGAGGTCTAGGGTAACACGTGGTGTGCGCTGCACACAAAGTGTTTGTGGCTGATAGAATTTCTTGTGATATTGAGGTTTTACTCAGGGGGAGTGAAACTGGGTGGGTTGAGTGCTACTTGGAAAGGATTGAAGTGTACTTGACACGTATCAAAGAAATAGAATCAGTTTGGGAATTTTTGACTTGCAATATCGTGTGAGAGTGCTTTTTCAATTGGTATCAGAGCAGGTCACTGATCGTAGGAATATTTCCTCTCATATCGGTGTAAGATTCAGATTCACACGATGGAAGGTTTCAAGAAGTTTCAATCGTTCGGGAACACTTCTATGCTCGACTCAACCAATTATGGGCATTGGAAAGTCAAGATCGGTTCTTATATTCGTGGGCTTGATGAAGATACTTGGAGTGCAGTTACGGACGGATGGACTCGACCGACTGATATTATCAATGGAATTGTCAAAGTGAAACCAAAGAGCCAATGGACAGATCAAGAAAAGCGGGACTCTGCCTTGAACCAGAAAGCACTATCTATCATTTTCAGCAGTGTTTGTCATGAAGAGTTTGAACAAATTCAAGGATATGAAACTGCAAAGGATGCATGGGATACTTTGAAGCTTATACATGAAGGAACATCCAAAGTGAAAAGAAACAGATTGGATATGATAGATCTCCAATTTGAGCGCCTGAGAATGGAAGATGATGAGAGTGTTAAAGAGTTCTATGGGAAGTTGAGTGCCTTGTCGAATGAGGCGAGTGTGCTTGGAAGGAGAATCAGCAATGACAAACTTGTGAAGAAGCTTTTGAACAGTCTACCAGCAAAATATCATTCTCAGATCTTGGTGTTTGAAGGAGTAAATAATCTAAAGACCGTCACATTCAAGGAAGCTGTAGGTACTTTCGCTGCCCATGAATTGAGGCTACAATTGATGAATGGAGGGTCATCTCTCCAACAGAAAAAGGGACAAGGTATCGCTCTTCATGTTCCTGAAACAAGAGAGACCGTGTTAGAGAGTAGAAAACCGGTGAAGAACAAGAAACAGCCTGAAGAAGAGTTGCATGATGAGATGACTTCTGTCATTAAGAAGTTCAACAAGTTCTTCAAGGGAAAGAATAAATTTGGACAGCAAAGTGATAGAGATTCAGGAAAATGCTTGGAATGTAGGGGTGCAGGACACTGGAAGGCTGAATGTCCGAGCATTGCAAGGATGGAAAGCGTGCTGAAAAATCTCAAGGAAACTCAATGCTTTGAATGCAGGGGTTTTGGTGACACAAAGAGGGAATGCATAAAACAGAAAAGAAAATCCTTGATCACTCATGAGGATGACTCTTCAAATGAAGAAAGTGAGAGTGATCAGGATAATCTATCTAACTTTGTGGCATTCCTCGGGGTTATCGAAGAAGAAAATGATGAAGTGATGAATAGTGATGATGAAGAAGTCATTGAGGAGGAATTGTTTGAAGAGATGAACAAATTGGTGAAAATGAATAAACAGTTGATCAGTGACAAACAACAGTTGGAGAAGGATCTCAGTCGAGTTCAGATGCAACTGACAGACACTCAACAGAAGCTAGCTCAAAAAGAAGAAGAAGCTTCACTTATGAAATGTCAGTTGAAGGCACTAAGAAGAATCTGCACCTTCTCGGAAATGGAACTGGAAAGCTGGATCACTTACTGGGATTAGGTCGAAACTCTGG